TTTGGTCTAGTCACATTTCTAGTGCTCACCAGTCACAACAGGCTAGTGGCTACCACATTGGTGAGGAAAGATATAGAAAACAGTAGTTGCTCAATAAAATTCTTTAAAAGATATTGATGTAAGAAATGAAAAGAGGGGGCCGGCCCGTGGTTCACTCGGTAGAGTGCGGTGCTGAAAACACCAAGGCCATGGGTTCGGATCCCATATAGGGATGGCCGGTTTGCTCACTGGGTGAGCGTGGTGCTGACAGCACCAAGTCAAGGGTTAAGATCCCCTTACCGGTCATCTTTAAAAAAAAAAAAAAAGAAATGAAAAGAACTTTCAGATCCTCACTGGAAAAAATGGTCATGTATTCTAACTTTTATTTTCTGAAAACAACTAATCCTACAATTGATGTCGCGTGACAGTTTAAATGGCAGCATTTTCTTAATAGTTCATGAGAAAATGGTGCATCTTACAGCCAATGGCATCTTAGAGTTGATGAAATACTTTGCATATAAAGCACTTAGTACCCGGCATATAAGCCTCACACAAATTAGCTACTATGTCTTATTCATATTTATATTCCCAACACTAGTTCAGTGCCTGGCAGAGTTTGTAGTTAATAAATGTTTATTAAGTGAATCTCTATATAATGCCTTGTAACCTCTAACTTTGTACATCTAAATCCAAATATATGAGGGTACTTCAGTTCGTGGAAAGATTCATATCACCTTTTAATTCTATTTTTCCATGAACTTTCTGAAGTACCCTCGTATTATATTCCTTTCAAAACTAGCTCCTTCTCACAAAGTTCCTCTTGTCATTCTCAGTCATGCTGACTTACAAACGCAGATCTTTAACTCCTGCCTCTTCCCCTAATCCACTTTAGATAGCAGGTCATGTCAATTCTTCCTTTACAGTTTCCCCTAAAATATGTCCTTTCATTTGCATTCCCACTGCCAGCCCCATAATCTGATACAGTGATTTTCGAACTTTTTGGTCTAAGGACCTTTTATACTCTTAAAAATTAGAGGGCACCAAAGAGCTTTTGTTGATATGGATTATATCTATCAATATTCACCATATTAGAAATTAAAACTGAGGCCGGCCCGGTGGTGCACTGCTACAGTGCGCCGCTTGGGAAGTGCGGCAGCGCTCCCGCCGAGGGTTCGGATCCCACATACAGACCGGCCGCTCACTGGCTGAGCA